TATTAATGAACAATCAACTGAAAACATTGTTATGGAAACCCGAATTTTTAGTTATACTGTTATAATCTAGTATGTTTTGCATTAGTTTAAACAATCTTAAATAATGAAATGTAAACAAATCAAGTAAATATAAACTGTCAATCGTGTCGGTTGTATTTACTTCATATACAATATTGAAAAATTTATTATTTTTTAAAAAAATTAAATAAACAACAAAAATGAATGTTATTTATATCCAAAGTCTTTCGATTCGTTCTGATACGTATTTTTCAAACTATACAAAAAAAATAGCATATTTTAATTTAGAGGGTTTGTCGAATAGCAAAAAAGGCTGCACAAACATTCAATGCTCAAGTTCCAGTTTTTTTTTTTTTTGTTTTTTGTTGTCACTTATTTTTATTTTAATTAGTGACACCAACCAGATCGCCTATTCTATATTTTTTCAATGCTACTCTTTTTGTAGAGACATTTGTAATGCATATTGTTTTACTTACTATATGTAAAGCGACCATTCTTATATATCCTTATATGTCCTTTATTTCTTTCTTTGCTATTCGAAAAAAACCTCTTAATTTTAAATAAAGCTTCTCTGTCACGATACAAAGAAAGCGTAGCTTTTCAGCAATACTAGTACTTTATTCAGCATATATTAATTTTATCAAAAAGTTTATTTTTTGAAAAATCTAGAAACAACAATTTACACGCGAATACTCCTAATACAGAATTAATTAAGGCAATAAAGAACACACAAAACTAGAATAATACAATTTTCTGAAATTTGAAGTCCTAGTCAAACTTATAAATGCAGTAAATTTCAAGTTTTACAAGAAATTTCAACTTCTATAGCTTATACCAGGTTCGCACTATCTCATTTAGGCACTTGCTCATTTATATAAATGAGGAACCGTTCACATAATAATGAGCTCATTTATACAGCTTTTAGAACTTTTATATGTCAAAAAAGCTATAAAAGAACTTTCTTTTGTTTACAAATAAAACACAAAGAAAAATTTTGGTATTATGTAAAATAAATATTTTAAAATGGGAAACGCGGAAAATTTAAAAAACATAATATATAATGTGTGTGAAATTATTAATAATAGAAAGAAAGAAAGCAATTTCTGAATATCGTAAATGTCGTGCAATGCACCGAAAAAATATACTTGAAATAAGAAAAAAGCAAATAGCAATACTTTCTACAATAATTGCTAGCAACCGGAGGAAGTGCTGGACTTTGGTTAGTGCCGCCAGTAATGATTATTAAATAAAGTTTAAAATTAACATTTTTTTTCAGAAAAGAACAAAGAAATTCTGGGAAGTGGATTGCCAGAAAAATGGTCCAAATTTTTTCAAAGAAAATTTTCGCATGAGTTAGGAATGTTTTAAGGAGTTATGTGAATTATTAAAAGGACTACAGAAAAGAGATACAACCTTTCGAATTTCAATTTCTTTAGAAAAGAGAATTGCTATTGGCTTGTATTGCCTTGGGTCGTCGGCTGAATACAGAAGCGTAGCAAATCTGTTTGGCGTTGGCAAGTCAACCGTGTGCATTTGCCTGAAATTACTTTGCCAGGAGGTGTGGAAAATTCTTTCACCCTTGTACATGAATGCATTTCCATTAACAAGCGACAAGGTGAATGAGTGCATCAGAGGATTTGAGGTTCTTGGTTTTCCACAATGTTTAGGTGCAATGGGTAAGTTTTCAATTTACTATTACTGATACATATTAATTGTAAACAACATTAAAGATGGAAGCCACATTGAAATAAAACCAGAATCTCAGAATGCTGTTGACTACTATAACTATAAAGGGTGGTACTCGATTGTTTTGTTTGCCCTCGTAGATTATAGGTAAGTAATTTATAAGTAAATAAACAACGAATTTCAATAAACGCGCAAATATATTTTACTGTTTATTTACAGATACCGTTTTCTTTATATAAATGTTGGGTATCCTGGAAGAGTCAATGACTCTTTTATTTTTGAAAATTCATCACTTAAGAGCCAGTTAGAAAATTGTATTGCTTTAGAAGACAAAAGAAGGGTGATTAATGGTGTCTTTTTGCCATTGACATGAATCCATCTGAAATAAATGAATATATCTCACTAAAAAATTAAATATTTCATTGATATATTAAATCATTTATATACATGTTATATATTAATTACATTTCAATTAATAAAAACAGATTATATTCAATACTACTTTCTCAGTGTACTTGTTTACAGCACAGTTGTTGTTTGTTTACATTTTATATTTAAAAATATATGACAGATACTTCAAATTTTGGTCATTTCCCTTCTGGGAAATTTTTTTTAAAGGGTTGCATTCGACAATTTTGGTCTAAAATGATCTGATTTATTGTAAATCAGCACATTTATATGAAAGCTCTTTGTATGGTAAATCATGCTCATTAGTGATTATAATGAGCAAAACCGCCTAAATGAGATAGTGTGAATGTACTATTAGAAAATATGCTGAAGATATAGAATAAATGTGATGTCAACTCAAATATCTGAAAAAACTCAAATAAATTAAAAAATATATTTATTTATTTTTTTTTTTTTAAATAAAAAAAAATTTTTTGTTATATTATTATTTTTATTATGTAAAAAAATAAATATATCTGAAAAAGTTCAACAAATAAATCGTTTTTTAAAATTTATTCATATATAACAACACAGCTTCCGCAGCAGCGTTGCTAACTTGGCGTTTACATTGGCCGAAAATGGCTCATTTTGGTCAAAAATCGAAAATGAGTAGCGAATGGCTCATTCTTGCATATAAAATTTCAAGCGCGAAAATGAGCAATTTTCTCACATTCTATATGAAAGACGTTCGAATGCATTCCACATATGTTCCAAATGCAAGGGAATCGATTGAACATACCCTAAGTAAAAGCTTTTCATGGCATTTTCACAGTTTGAGAAAGCTGTTTTTGACATATTTACAAAAAAAGGTAAACAAATGTTTGGTGGTTGCATTTTCTTGAAAACGATGCACCTCTTTTTAGAACTTCTACTTCCCAAAAGGTAATTAATAGAAGTTAAAAATATGTTTTAAGTTTATATTGTAAGGTTTGAAAGCATATTTAATCTTCATGCAATATTTTTTTGGCACAGGCCAAAATCAAATCAACAAGCAAGTTGAAAAATCAGCTGTTTGAAATGAGAACAAACGAATTACAACGAATGTAAACACTTTCAAATTGCTTATTCAAAATGAGCCATTTTCGGCCAATGTAAACGCCATATAACTTGGCGCTAGCAATATATTAGGGGTATTCAGGCAACTGATTAGTTGCTTAGTAATTGATTACAACAAAAATTTGCACACAAAAATGAAACTAAGCAGGGAATCAACTATTTCGGTGATTCTCAGATTAGTACAAATTTGATTAATAGTGCTGCCAGTCCCAAGTGTCGTAATAATAACTTAAAATGAATTTTTGTGTAGAAATTTGTTAGCTGTCTCTCTCAGCTGTTTGAATTGTGTGTAAACAATTTTCACTGTTAACGTATGTTTCGCTTTTGCTGTTGATGCGAGTGCTGCCAAGGCATTTACACACAACAAACTAATCAGATAACGCATTTTGGGTCGTTCAAGCAACTGATTAACATCAAAATGCTAAATTTTTTTTATATGAAGTTTTTGAATCAACTAAGCAGCTAATCAGTTGCCTGAATACCCCTATTATTTTAAAAATCTGTCAATTCGCCATTTTTGTACCAAAAACTTATCGATAACGCATTAAATTCAGCACTATATTCAGAAAAAGATATTAAGCAAAGTCAACTTTCAGCCAAAGTTCGAAGTTTGTTGTGCCTATTTTTATATGGCAAAGCGACTTTGGTTGCTGGTTTTGCACTCAAAATCGGTATCCACTAGCAAAGTTCGTAATGTAAACCTCGTTTAATACACACCATCTAATGCATACAGCACTACTACGACGACCAGTTTGCATATGTTTTCAATATAATAAAATACTTATTTCAATATTGTTTTCCGTTGAAAATAGGAATAAATAAAAAATTGTGCCTTATGAATTATATAATTATGAGCAAAATATGCATAGTAACTTATATGAAGAAAGTTGACATAACGTAACATATAACATACGTTTAATCAAATTTCATGTGCGTTGTCCTCACTAATTTATCGCCATCACAATAGTGGTGCCAAACTTCGTTACTTTTGGGTATTCGTACCTACCCGTTACTTTTCGTATTGTATTCGTTACTCAGTATTCGTTACTTAGTATTAGTTACTCAGTATTCGTTACTGCGCTTTCGTTACTGCGGTTTCGTTACCAAAGTTTCAATGCTATTGTTTCGGCATATAGGGGAATTTTTTAAAGCATGTATATTAAATTATATTGCATATTATTGTAAATTTTGATTTTAAGTAAAATTCCATAATTTCTGTAAGTGCTGTATAAATTTATTGAATTAATAAACAATAATAATAAAAATAATAAATAATATATTATATTAACATATTATATCAAGAAAACATTTAACGCGTTGTTTGATTGCTTTAACAGCTTTAATTATATTATATTATATATATTATATTATATATATATATATATTATATAATATATATTATATTATATTTTCACTTCCTACTGGTTCAAAATGAATCCAAATTTCACTTTTTTTATTATTAATATTTTCACACATTTTTAATAAATTTGAAAACGAACAAAATTTTTGAATAAAGTAGTTGTTATTAAACCGCGAAAACAGCTGTTGAAAGTAATCGTTACCAAGTACTCAAAAGAGTAGGTAAAACGAATACTACTCATTGGTAAAATGAGTAAAAGTAACGAATACAATAAAAAGTTTGTATTCGTTACTCCGGTATTTCTTGAGTAACGAATACAAAG